TGAAAATATTCTTTCTTACCACAGAAAGGGATTTTTTTACCATGTCTTTTAGCTGCAGACACCCAGGGTACCTCGCACAGCAGGGAAGAGCGAGCACTCTCCCCTGGCAATTAGAAAATGGTTCTTCATGATGACATCTTACTTGCGCTAAACCCTTTCATAAACTTCCTCGGGTGGGAGAGACAGTCCAAATAATGGACAATTGTTTAACATAGCCACATGCCTTGATAGAGAAGGCCCTTCCGTTTAGGAGAAATGCCTTTAAAATTAATGAATACCTTGTGATACAAGATTTTTTTTTACATGCATGTTCAAGGGCTTTTATAACGGGATGAACTTTTGTTTATAGAGCTTGATGACTTTTATTACATTGTATTAAGCATTTCCTTGATAATCAAAGAACATTGTATCTCAAAGAACACAGTGACGTTTACCAGAGGGAGAGGGTTGGCGGTGGGCAAAATGAATGAAGGAGGTGAAAAGGTACAAACTTCCAGTTACAAAACAAATAAGTCATGGCGATGTCACGTACAGCGTGGTGACTGTAGTCAGGAATACTGTAGTGCATATTTGATCGTTCTCAAGAGGGTAAATCTTAAAAGTTCTCATCACAACAATAAAACCGTGTACCTTTGGTGACTGACAGATGGTAACTAGACTTACTGTGGTGATCATCTCCCCACAAGTAAAAATGTCTAGTCATTATGTAGCGTTGTACCCCTGAAACTAATACTATACTGTGGCATATCTGTTATCCCTCAGTTTAGAAAGCGAAAAAGAACATTGTGTCTGTGCTGACATGAAATGAAAAATTGCAAGCGGGGGGGCGGGGGGGCGGCGGTTGGTGCGTGATAACCGTCTCCAGAGGACCCAGGGAAATAAGAAGGATCTGCCTTTTATTTCATTGGAATCTTAAAAACTCATATGGCTTGAACTTCAATTGTAAAAAAAAAAATCAGAAAATTAAAAAAAAACTTGTGTGGGCCAGCAGTTATTTTTATCATCTGGCATAATTTTTAACTAAAGAAACAAAACTATCAATAGTGTTATAAAAGCCACTGTACTCTGAGCTTGAAACAACTGCTTCATGCTACAAAATTCCTGTTGCTTCCTCCATTAGTGACTGAGTAATTCAATATGTCTTGAATGTCAACATATTTTTATTACTCAGCTAAAGTTGGCTTTGCTGGATTAAATGCCATTTAAAATGATTAAGTGGCAGCTCGTTTGGGGTTATTTTTACATTTATGAAAGGGAAAAGCTTGCAAGATACACGCGGTTTTGAATCTTACAGGTGAAGTCTGTGCTCTGGTAAGCCCGCCCTTCATTTTTACCAGCCAAAGAACAGATAACCTTCCAGATCTCTTCTTAGTAAGTGGTTTGCATAAAGGCCGCCGTTGGATGAAAAACCCGCATGGTGCCCAGTCCTGGGCAAGCCCGTACTTGAAGATGTGTCTGGTTCACATTTACTGTTTTATGAGAAAAAGGGGGTTACCAAGACAGTAAAGAGAAGCAACAGAAACCTTACACATGAACATCTTTGTGCAGAAGGGGATGAGAGGAGAACCAGCCACTTGAAGTCGTAGCTCCAGGAAGCCTGCGGCTGGGAGGGCTGCTGATGTCCTGCTCACCTGCAGAAGGGCAAACGTTCTCCACATCCAACTACATAAGACAACTAGATAGTTTTTTATTATTACACTAGAGTCAAGAACCAACACTGCCAAGTCACTGAGCTCAGCAGCTCCTGCATTGAGCATCTGCTGCCTGGTGGTCATTGTGTGTCATAGCTACCGGTGTAATGGTCGCTTAGGCTTTTAAATATATAGATTTTATTCATATGAACACTCTAGAGAATTACATGCCAAATTCAGATGAATCTGAAAGTTTCATCAAGCTTCTTTGTGGTAAAAATGATTGTAACCCTGTGGGAAATAGCAAAGTTATACACAACTTCACCACCACCACCACCTTGTTCCTCCTATTTACCTGCATTTCATGTGATAATATTTGGTTTTGTCAGATGTTTTCCAGTTGGAAGAGATGGTGGGAAACTAAAATGTATCTGCCATTGGATGGCAGAACAACAACTGGACCTTTAAACCCAGCTCAGTTCTCTGTCTCCTATTTGCAGTAAAAATGTTGTAAGACAGGGAGGTGGCGGGGGAGGGGCAGCCCATACTGCTGCTTTGCCTGGAAACTAGAGTGGTCATATTACCACAGCTGATTATTCTCAGTCTGCAATGGCAAGACACTGGCTTCTCTAAGTACTTATGACACTAGGATTCGTCCCCCTGCCCTGTCCCCCCTCCCGCAGTAAGAGCACAGCTGTAGGTAGGGGTGGAGTTCGAAGAGGCTGGCCAATGGGATTCAGACTCCAGAAGCCTGGTCATCGGTGTAAGAACACCACTTGTCCTTTTCTAAAACACAATGAAATACATCGCATTAACTTTTACATGCAGGTAATTGGGAGAATATAGTAAGAGACACTAAAGATTTATGGTTTACTTTTTTAAATGCCAGCTACTTTTTTTATTTTAGAGAGGGAGAGAGAGAAACACATTGATGTAAGAGAGACACAAGAGAAACATCAATCAGTTGCCTCCATTGGTGTATGGTACGACACTCCAACCAACTGAGCCACACCCGCCAGGGCAAGATTTATGATCATTTTAAGTTTCATAGTAATTCCTAGAAAAATTAAGCCTCCCAGAAAATTCCATATTTTATGCCAGTTCCTTCTGTTCAGAGAATACGCTGGATTTCATAACAGGTGCACTAAACAGAGTTAAACCTTGCTCTGGAAAGTCCTAAATTTTTACAAACATATGCCTGTTGACCAGCTTCCCTGAGGATAGAAGCCTCATTGGGCAGTGTGGCCGGCGCAGGCCTCCGAGTCACGTGGAACCTAGAATCCTGTGTCCCTCCGGAGCTGCGCCCCAGCTTCCTTGTCCATAAAATACCTCATCCGGTGTCGCAGGGGCCAAATGCAGCCCTGCCCACAGAGTACAGAGCACAGCGCCTGCAAGCAGCACCAAAAAATACCGTCGTTACTTCCATTACTTTCTCTTCACTCACATTATCGCTCATCCAATAATCCTGTAAAGCAGCGATCTTCAACCGGTGTGTCCCCAGAATGTTTTAGACAGGTAATACCTACCCGACTACTTACTCAGGGCACTGACCTCTTTTTCCTTAGACTGTCAACTTAAAAAATGACAACAGCCAACACAACAATAGCCGTTCAGTGTGAATGAATCAAAATTATACCTAGTTTTTTGTCCTTCAAAAAATGCGTTTTTTGGTGTGCCGCAGAATTTCAGTGACGGTGTATATTGTGCCCTCGATGAAAAAGGTTGAAAATGACTCCTGCAGAGTAAGGGCTCTCTTAGTCCCGATTCGTAAATGAGGACACCGAACCTCAGGGAGATTCAAGAAACTCGCCCAAGGGGACCTGACTCCATTCCCCTTGTAGGTACACTCCAGAGAAGGGTGTGTTTGTTTCTCTGGGAGGTGATGTGCTGGCTCTGAGACACTCCAGATCTAACCCAGACACTCCCTCCAGGTCTCCCAGGCCGCGCCCAGCAGGAGGGAGTCAGCACATTGTAGTGCAGAGGCCTCGGGTTTCAAGTCCCAGGACCTCGGGGTGAGAGGGTTAGAAATAACGTGTGAGAGTGCCGTGTGCATATGCGGCGTCCTGCAGCTCATCAGTTATCACCAGTCATGTTGGCGAGGGCCTGGCACAGCTCCCGGTCCACAGTGAGCACCTGGAAGTTGGGTCTCTTATTCTCACCCGGAGGCCAGTCCCACATGAACTAGACCTAGAAAGTACCCGTCGGCCCCCACCCACCTGCTGAGTGCAAACCACATCCCATGATGGCACAAACCCAGAGTGCACGAGCACAAAGGAAAGGCATCTTCTCTTTGTTTTTGTTTTTTCTTTTTTTTAAATATATTTTATTGATTTTTTTACAGAGAGGAAGGGAGAGGAATACAGAGCTAGAAACATCGATGAGAGAGAAGCATCGATCAGCTGCCTCCTGCACACCCCCCACTGGGGATGTGCCCACAACCAAGGTACATGCCCTTGACCGGAATCGAACCTGGGACCCTTCAGTCCGCAGGCCGACGCTCTATCCACTGAGCCAAACCGGTCAGGGCCGCATCTTCTCTTTGAATTTGCTAGAAGCCTAGCTCAGGGCCCGGCCTACACGAATTCACTTAATAAATCTTGGCTGCCCCACCCAGTGATGGTGCACCCGTTGTAAAGTAGAGAAAGGGATTTTTTGTACGGGGCTTCTTTCTACCCTGCTTCCCTTATAATAAAGCAGTTTTAAAGACCTCCCAAGTATGCTGTAGTGAGAATATCTGTACTCCTAAAAAAAAAAAAAAGAAGCAGGCCGGTTCCAGCTCCCACGGTCACGGTCACTGAGTCCCGTGGCGTTTTTCTTTCCCCACAGCCTTTCACACAGCAGGCTTCTTTTTCTGCCATTGCTTAGCCGACCCCAATCTTCCCGTCTTTATCCGTTCAGCATCACCCTCCACCCCCAGGTCATCTTAGCACCACCACTGATCACCCGCTCTCTCTCTGGAACACCGGGACTCGCCTCCTGCCTGCCACCCTGCCTGCCCACTTTTCAGCACACTTAGGGCCAGTGCATTTGCAGTTCGAGCTGGTTCTCTCTCTCCTGTGGGCTCTGCTCAAAGTCAGGTCATGGGTCATGACGGTGGACAAGTCGCTTCCTCTCTCCTGGTCACTGTGTCCCCCTCTTGGGAGGAGGCAGTTGGAGTGGATGGTCTCAGGCCCGCACAGGACAGAGGTCTCCCTCCCCAACACCACCACACGTGCCCCTCGGGGTCCAGGTCTCCCTGTCAGACGGGAGGTTAGGCCGTCCATCCAAAGCAGGCCAGAGCAGTTACTCACTCGACTGTTTTCTGATTTGCGTTCTTGGTCTCGACAAGAAACCTTTTCAACAGCGTTTTCTTGCCCTTTTCCTCGGCAGACTGTAGACTGCTTTGGGATTACGTCTATCAGTTGCTTTCTGACAGCCGGTACGAAAACTTCATCCGATGGGAGGACAAAGAATCCAAAATATTCCGGATAGTGGATCCCAACGGACTGGCTCGACTGTGGGGAAACCATAAGGTAAAAGGGCACCAGATATCTGCTCTGTAAACTGGTGCCAAAACAAAGCCTTTCTGCCGGGGTTGGAGGATAATTGTCTGTCTGCTGCTTCCTAAGTCTGCCCGTAATCATTTAGTTTCTTCCTTACTGGGCCAACAATTAGACAGTTGCAAAGGGAAGGAGATCATTAAAGATGCCCCTTTCCGGTGTGGCTCAGGCCAGGTGCCAGCGAGCTCTGCATATCCTGGCCTCCAGGCTGAGGGCTGAGCAACCCTCACCGCCCCCTTGACCTGGCCCTGTTACCTGTGTCATTAGGAACTGGTAACGGGGAAGCGTGCGCGGGGCTCTGACGCACGAGGGAGCCTTCTGAAGCGTGGCTTCTGTTCCGCTCAGTTGGAAACTCCCATGTTCCCGAAAGCCCCTTTCCCACGGAAAATACTGACATTCTGACTCTAAAACATCCCCCTTTCAAAGCACACAGGGCAAGAAGTAGGCTTGCCCCACGAGTTCCCACACTAGGAAGAGGGAGTGGAATCTAAAAGATAAAGCCTTTTAGAGTAAGGAAAACTGTTCAAGGGCGCAGATGTAACGAGGTAAAACAACCCAAATGTACATCCATGATTGAAGGGGTAAAGGAACTGTGGTCTGTACCTGCAAGAGAAAAGAAGGAAGTTCTTCCGTATGCGACCACACGGACAGACCTTGAGGACATTATGCGAAGTGTAGTAAGCAAGTCAGAGAAAGACAAATACTGGCTGATTCCACTTCTATGAAATACCTAAACTAAGCAAATTTATTGAATCAAAGAATGGAATGGTGTTGCCAGGGGTTGGGGGAGGGGAAACTGAGGAGTCACTAGTCAACGGGCATGAAGTTTTCTTTAAGTAAAATGAGTAAGTCCCAGGGGTCTGCTCTACAACCTGTTAACACCAGTGCATTACGCACTAAAAGTTTGTTAAAAGGGTAGATCTCATGTTAAGCGTTCTTGCCACAACAAAATAAAGTAAATAGAGCAAAGAGCACACCTACCCCCAACCCCCAATGCCCCCCCCCAAAAAAAAAACTAAATAACTACATCTGTATTCCTACTTTTAAAAAAGTCAAGTAACCAAGATCCGGGGCTGACCACAGACAAGTGGGTGGCATAGTGGCACAGTGCCAGCTCAGCCGAGTGAGAGGGGACCAGGGGGCCGCGGCCAAGCGAGCTCTGCCCTGGCCGCAGCCTAGGAGGACCCGTGCCAGCCATGACCGCACGCGGCAGGGCCCACTCCACTGCCAGACACTTCCATGCGCGAGTCCTGGGAAAAATCCCTCTGCACCTCCCACACGGTGCCGGTGCAGCCCCAGCGCTGGGAACCTCTGTGTTCATGCTTCCACAACAGGAATTTAAGCAACAAAATATCTCTTCCTTAAAATGACAAGCCAGAAACACTGTTTGAGAAAGGTCACTGCAACAAAAAAGAGAAAAGCTCTCCTCGGTGGGTCAGAAGGTGAAGGATGGCCCACAGATAGTGGGAACCTGCAGGAAATTCCTGGGGCACAGCAGAGCGCAGTCTTGGGAAAGGAAGTGAGGGAGGCTGCCGAGGGATATGCCCTATTAGCTCCCTCCCCCTCCTCCTCCCCCTCCGGGACTTCTGACAAAGGGTGATTCACTGGGAGAAGTCTTGGGGGCTGAGGGGTGGGAACTATTGGGCCTGGGTGGCCGCAGATGCACAGGTAGCTTCCCAAACTTCGGGGTCATGGCAGCCGCTGAAGAACTTTTGTTTTAACAGCTCCCCCAGCGCCTTTTCTGAGGTTTATTTCATTGTGTCTTTGTGCTTTTTTTCTCCCTTCCTCCTTTGAACAAACAGAACAGAACAAACATGACCTATGAGAAAATGTCCAGAGCCCTGCGCCACTACTACAAACTAAACATTATCAGGAAGGAGCCCGGACAAAGGCTTTTGTTCAGGTAGCACTTCCTTTTTCTCCTTTCCTTCTTTGGGGAGGATACTGTTTTCTTTAAATAAGAGGGAGGAGGGAGCCTGTTAAGATCTCCACCTGCCTATCCGATACTCAAAGCCATCGGAGCTATGAATTGGATACCAGGTGCTGGTTTGTTAGAATTTAAGAAAACAATCATTTTTTAAAAATTTATGTCTGTCCTATAGTAAAACCAAAACTAAGTAAACATAGTCTGACGCCCCTGTAAAACAATGCATTGCTCAGATAGTATTACCTGCCATTAGCATCCAGTCTAGGTAAGGGAGCAGCCAGAGTGACACTGTCAATGGCAACACCAGGGCTGGAACCTGGACTTGAAAATATCAGAATGTATCACATGAAATTCAAAGGGACTGTTCACTTATGAAAATTTTGTTTCAGGTGTGTGTGTGTGTGTGTGTGTGTGTGTGTGTGTGTGTGTGTGTGTTATATTTGTTATAATGCACTGAAAGCTGTTGCTCTAGACATTCCTCTTCCCAGAATTCCTCACACTGAGTTCCAACCATTGAAACTACCACATAGATTGTGATTCCAAGTACAATGTAAGAAGAGAGAAAGAATTAGAAGAGGAAGGATAAGGGACCTAAAGGACCAGTCAGGAGAAGAAGAACGCTGGTGTTCATGGGGGGTAATGGCCCTGGTGAGACCAAGGGAAAGTTGGGAGAGTGTGGGATCAATAAGCGAGCTGAGGCCATGAGTTTTGGCAGGTGGGACAGAAACGACTTCTAGAGTCGTGGGTTTGGAGTTGTTTATGTGCAGATAGAAAATGACACTGTCTGTGTGCAGGTGAGCTCACTGGAAAGAGCGGAGAACCTGGGCTTTAGCGTTGGGAAGGGGGAGTTAAAACAGTTGAGATCTTAAAAGCAATGGAAAAGGCCGCTCAAGAGACGGACCCCAAAGGAACTGAAGTGAAAAAGAGCCTTCCTTTTGCTGGCTGTGCTGCTGCTGCCCTTCATTCTTTCCACGCCTAGTCCGTGGCTATATTCTCCCACGCTACGTGCTTTTTTCCTGAATGAGTTGATCCCATCACATAGCTTGAATTATCACCTCAGTGGTTAGGCTCTTAAATCTTTGTACCCAGCTCTAAAACCTCCCTGAAGTTTCAAATCTGCATTTCCAAAGGCTTCTTATAGGACTTGTCCATTTAATGTAATGTTAGTATCTTGGACATGCAACATTCAAGACAGACCTTCACATGCTAGAAATCCCCCCTCCCCCCCACACACACATACCTTTGCTTCTCATCACTGGCATCACCATCATGTCAAGCAGCCAGCCTTGACACCGCCGTTACCATGACTCTCCCATGACCGAGCTAGTGTTTGTGCTGAATTGTCCACTGGCTCCTTTCTGTGCTGCAGGCACCGCATGTCCCAAGATTTCTTACGAGCAGGTTCCAGGTTGGAGTTTATCAAATGACAAGCACTTTCTTGAGATGTGGAAGATTCGAGAGAAGCAACAGCCTTATTGTTGCTTCCCGAGCAATGGAGACTGATATCTAGACTTCACATTCACCCCCAGATTAATTTGACATTCTCTGTCCCCCTCTGGTCCACTCTCCTGCCTCCCAAATTTATTATATACACTGCCAGCCGCTCTGCAACACAGATGCAGTTCCCTGTATCAGAAACATTTATCACTTTGAGTTTTGCTTTTTAACATATATACCCTCTAGGTCCACCTCCAGTTGGCTGCCTTTATGAGGCCTTCTGCAACTGCTCAAACACACAGATATCTTGTTCTGTCATTTCTTGGCCCTAAACCACTTCGTGATCTGCATTTTTGTTGTTGTTGTTAACCCTCATCCAAGTATATTTTTCCATTGATTTGTAGAGAAAGTGGACGGGAGAGGGAGAGACGGAGAGAAACATGCATGTGAGAGAGACACATTGATTGGTTGCCTCCTGCACACCCCCCAACCAGGGCCGGGGAACCTGCAACCAAGGTATGTGCCCTTGACCGGAATCAAACCCAGGACCCTTCAGTCCGTGGGCTAATGCTCTATCCATTGAGCCAAACTGGCTAGGGCGTGGGCTGCATTTTTGATAGTGAAGTCCTTCTCCCCACAACTAGGTCATAGGCTCCTAGGAGGTAGAGGATTACATTTGGTGTAATTCTGTTGTACACCTTATGGAGGCTTTCAGTAAATATTTCTTGACGAGCCTAGCTTGGAGTATCAGAAGCTTAATATGGAAAAGCAGTCAAAGAAGAAAAGGGTCGTTTGAAGGGCCACACATCGCCTATCTGTGGGCATGGCCTGGAGGGCATTGTTAGTGATTTCAGGTGTTGAGGGGGAAGCATTAGTGAGGGGAGGAAAGATAGAAGACAGACTACAGACACTACAGATCATGCTGCCTCTGTAATACGGGCAGAAAAGAAAAGCAGTGGTAGCTGGAAGGTTCCTAGGTTTCCCGTAGTGATTTTGAACAAGATGTAAGGGGAAGAATCCTGCTATTAGCGGGGCTGATTAGTCATTTTGAGAAAATGAGTGTTGCAAGCCAGACTTGCCACAAAACGAAGGCTTCTTGGAATGAAATCCAGGGTATAGTCAGGTGACGTATTACATTGTGGGTGCTCAGTACAAGATGTTTGGGAGAGGAGGGAGGAAGGCTTCGGCATAGACGGGTTCCGTTAGCAGCTCTTGGATGATGAGGTGGAGCTCAAAGCATGAGTAGGGCTCAGACGTTGAAAGGGGTAGAGAGGGTTCCGAATAGAGGCCGAGCTGGAGGTTGGGAGGCTGCCAAGAGCCATGACTATAGAAGGAAGAAGACTGGCCAGACAAGGATGGAGGATTTACAGTGGAAATAAAGAGTTTCGTGGGTGTGATGACAAAGGGCCCCGGTGGGGAGGCCGGAGACTGGGTCCTTGACTTGATAAGTGGCCATCGTAGGCTTTGGACCTGGAGGGATGAGAGAAAAACGCGTGTGTGAAGACAGTTCATCTGGTGCAGGGCAGAGTAGATGGGAGGGGAAAGGCGTGCCAGCACACAGTGGGGCTGAGGAAAGGCCACTCCCACAGTAGGGCAGAGCATTTGCATCTAGGCTGCCTTCCAGAACCATGAAATCGTGCTCGAAACGTCACCAAAGTTCTTTCCAAGGGAACCCCGTGAACAAGAAGGTCAGGCTTGCAGTGTGCGCCTGGCTGCTAAGGAGGACAGGCTAAAGAGGATTCATTGCTAACGTTTTGGATGTGTTCGTGTTAAGATTGAAAATGATTTTCTTTTTGCCTTTCTGATTTTCCAACCACCATTACTAACTGGTCCTATTATCAGAATTTTCCATTCAGCATTTAATTGTATCCTGTGAGTTAAAATCAAGTTTCAAATACCATTCCCTGGACTCACAGTTCGGGATGGAAGTGGACCTACAGCTCTCATGGGTCCTTGTAAAATGTAACTCTTTAAAAATAAGAAACACAGATGAGTGAGCTGTACCAGGGTTCCCTCACAAGGTCATGTGGGATGCACTGCACAGCTCCAGTGGGCGCTCTCTGCCTGCCATCTTCGCAGCGTCTTTTTATAGTTATTTCACCATTTTTCAGGCTGTCAGGATAAGGGGCACCCTTTTCTAACTGACACTAAGTTACCGTTAATAGCTGGCTTCAGTAGCTCTCCAGCTCTATCAGGTGATAGGGCCTTTCTCTTTAGTTTCAAGTTCAGGGTGAAAACAACTTTAGCAAAATACAATCTCTTAACTCCTCCATTTCCTCTCCCAAAGGTTTATGAAAACCCCAGATGAAATCATGAGTGGCCGGACAGACCGTCTGGAGCACCTCGAGTCCCAGGAGCTGGATGAACAAATATACCAAGAAGATGAATGCTGAAGGCACCTGCCCCGTCTCAGCGGCCGCAGCCCAGGGCACCGCGGCCCCAGGACTGCTGGAGGCGGAGCAGGGGACTGCGGAGAGTAGGAGAGGACGAGGCCGCAATGGGAGTGACACTTCCCTTGCATACCAGGAGGGACCCAGAGCACCTTAGACAAACCACCCAGCAAAGGCAGGGCTGGAATTCTGGCCAGCGGCACGAGCCCGGGACTCACGTTCACGTTCCCCCCTCATTCGGAATCTGTCCATCTGCAATTCCTCACCCTCGCCCTTCCACCTGTTGTCAGTTTCATGGTGTTTTTGTTTTTATTTTTTTATGACCACGCAGTTTGACTCTCATCAGTCATCTAGGGGAAGACATGAGCTTGTTTTCCTATGGAAATATTATATCTATTATATATATTTTTTGCAAATCTCACAAAGTGTGGCAAACCCAGCTCGTCAGGAAAGAGAAAACTTGCAAAAGGGTCCAGCTCCTCTTGCCCCGCCACGTGGATCCGGTCTGTGCCTGTTGCTGTTGGATCTTGGAGGACAGGGGGCAGGGAAAAGAGGATGCTTTTAAAAAAGATAAAGTGAAAAAGGAGAGGTCTCTTTCTCTCTCCTGCTCTTTCTCCTTCCCTGCCTTCTCCACCCCGCATCCCCCCCACCCCGCGCCCCCTTGGAGTTCAGCCTCTTGGAGAGTCTGGGTAGCAATTGGCATCTAAACAGAATCGGTGGCCTGGGTGCTTTGGGGCCAACGCCGCTAAGTCAGACCCACATCCCTGCACTTGGCCACCGTCCGAGGGAGCCCCAAACACCTGAGAGGCCGCTGTCCTCCAGGGAGACGGGTGTCCATCCCACAGACAGACACGGCGTGAGGGCCCCGCAGCTCAGGGTTCTACAGCCTCCGCCCAAGGTGGACGCTGCGGGTTATTTGGAAGCCCCAGCACCTGGGATCACAGTGGAAAACCCGCAAAGGCCACACAGGCCTGAGGGTCCAGAAACGGAGTGAGAGCTCTGAGCTGGGACCTGTTATCCCGAAGCAGGCCACGCAGGCAGGCAGGCAGGGTGCCTGTGCTCCATCATGTGGTCAGTTCCATGCCCTCACCTAACTTTTTTTTTTTTTTTTGCAATTTCTAGGCTTTTTAAAAGTTCCCCGGTCCCCAGAGGGCACAGGGCATTGGAGAAGGGAGGACCTTGGAATATGCAGTCTCAGTTGCTACCTGTGTTTGCCCAGCCTGGGCAGACAGCAAATCCCTCAGATACAGGACCGTTTCCTTCTGTCCTTCTTGCATAGCTGTGCTGCAGAATGGAACCCATCCGTGGCTCTTTTTCCCCTCAAAATAAGATCAATTGTATCTAGGAAAGTGAGGCTAGCGCCACCCCTTCGTACTTTTGATAACATTTTTAGAGAGCTGTTTAGATTTGCTTTCCTTTTCTAGCCGTCAAAGTTCCCTCTTCCAATACAGGTTCAGAATCCAATACGAGGAGTACAGTGTGTTTTAATTCAAAATATTGGACCTGCCTTACAAAGCACCCCCTCCTTCTTTCCCTCAGCTCCCCCAGGGTACGTACCGTAGGTGATGGTCAACAGGGGTCCCAGGTGAGGCTGCCAGACCCCGCCTCTTCTCCAGCCATTAGACACAATCCTTCCCCAGGTTCCTGACAAGGACACCAGTGGGGGCGAAGGGCACCATAGGTTAAGGATGGTTTCAGGACCGTGGACTTGAGGAGCTCATCGGGGCTCTTTGTTCTTGCTCTGTTCCTGCCTCATATCAGACCATATGTAGACACACAGAGGTGGCCAGCCACTCCCACGTCACACACTCCCCCCACTCTAACTGGCAGAATATCAGGCTTGTGATGAGGTCAGAGACCATCTGTGGGAGGCTAGAGGCTCTCCACGGGGAGGGTCTGGTCTGAATCGGTGTGGATGGGGCAGTGCCGCTGGGTCCCAGCAGGACACAGATGTCTCTCAGGAGTGTGCAGCCGCACACCAGCCTCTGAGATGACTGATGTATCTCCGAGGGGGAGATGAAGCCAGATACCTGGCGTGTTGTGGAGCCACTGCGTTTGAGGGCTGGAGAAACAGGCTGGATTTTCAGTGGGGCCCTTTGTGTGATTATGAAATCAGACACCAGGGCATGATGCTCTTCCCTCAGATGAGGACATGTCATTCCGTCCACCTGACCCAGGTAGTGCGACCCAGACTACTTTCCAGTCCAAGAATCTTATGGATGAATTATGGAGGAAAATTCCCTTTGGCCCCAAGGATTTCTCTGTATTTAAAGCAATATTCTCTATGAAAATGTAAGACAGGATGACACCTTCAGCCACTTAAAGAAGAAATAGAAGGTGCTAATTCCAGTATAGTCTTGATTTCCCATCCAGGTATTTATTACCAATAATGATTGTGTATTGATTTCCCTTAACATCAAAGACCTTCTCATTTGTTCTTTGAGAGAACACCTGGGCAGTGCTGACACCAGGGGTACAGTGCTCACACATGCAGACCCCAAAAGTTTCAGACTGAATGTAGCCAGCCTTCATAAAGCACCCGTGAGACCCGTGAGGGACTCAAAAGTGAATCTGGCACGATCCTGCCCTCTGAAAGCTTGCTTCCTACCTGCAGAATCCATCCAGCATGACATGTCCCACTTCAACACTACATACCAAGGGAGTAAACATTCCACCTGGGACCAAGTTAAAAGCACACCTGTGATCTAAACAGTAGGTCTTTCCTGCAGCCATCGGGGAATTCTTGGCTTGTGAGATCAGAACTTGGGAAAGGAAAATGCAGAGGAAGATTACCTAGGGGGAGGGGAGCTTTCTCCAGCAGTGTCCGGAATAGGCGCGCTCACTTGGATCATGAAACTCTCTAGCATCTCCTCCCTGCACTTTGAGTTAGGTTGCCTCCTCTCCATCGGAAGGTAGCAGTGGCGAAGGGATGGACTGGCTGTGTGGAAGTAACATGATCTCTAAGATGTTTTTGTACTAAGGCAACATGGCCTGGCCTAAGGCAGCATCACCGAGGGTCCAGATCATGGGAGAGGGGAGGTCTCACAGGAAAAGAGGAATAACAAACTTAGGAAATGCTGCTTTTAACAGTATCTTTGGAGTCTCTGATCCATTGCCTTCTGACGCTGAGGGTGTAGATTTAGCTGACACTTAAAGGCTGTGGCAAGATTTACCTGAATGACTAAGTCGGCACCATTTCCACCTTTCCCTGCCTAGGTTCCAACTCTGAAAACATTTTTGAAATATTAACTCCTTTTGCAGAGGGAAACCTGAGTGTTAGAGAGGTACTAGGACTTGCCCTAGGTGCAGCCAGCGTGCCAGGCACGGAGTTAGGTTTGGGATCCAGCCCGATCATACCTCCATTTGACCCATTCCCACCCAGGAAGCTGAAGATAAAAGGTCTGGGAAAATACACAAAGAACAAAGGGCGGTTTTCTTCGCCCAGGCATTCCATTCGGTGCTAGTTAGTTTTCACCTGCTCAGCCTGCTCCTCTCTGGGCAGAAGCCTGGAATGAAGGGAGTGACACGAGGAAGCCAGCGCAGGGGAGGGAGGGGACACGATGGTCCCTGCCTGTCTAAAACCCCCAAGACTAACCTGATACTCTTGGCCCCATCTGCATCAACACTAACAGCTCCGAACTCCCTGGATCTTTCACACACGCCAAGTGAACATTCTTGAAGGTTCCTCTTTGTGACTGCAACCACCTGCAAACCCAAACGAATCTAGAATTTCTTTTTTGTTTTCTCTTTTTGTTTGTTTAATTTCTAATCTCTTGTTGTTTATGAGGTGTGGGGTTTATAAGGGACAGAATCAAATGAATGTAACAAAAAAGAAAAAAGAAAAAAAATGCCTTTTCTCAGGGCCAGTGAGTTGCAAATAATTTTTAAAGAAAAGCCTATAATTGCATCATCTCAATAAATTTTTTATTTAAAAAAAAAAAGGTCCCAAGTGTCTATTTTAATAAGATGAAATGGAGTCAGAGAGGCAAGGTGCTCCGATGAGGTAAATCCTGTCTCCGCTCAATTATGGTATAAAGTGCAGTCATGGTTTTTCACTGGCAGGAAGCCTCTGTCACAGGGCCGTCTGCAGGCGATCTTCAGCCCTGAAAGGTCATGGCAGACAGTTTAGAGCTGAGCAGCTGGCCCAGGTGCAGAAATTTGCCAGGAGGAACCTCGGTCAGAGATGTTCGGTTCCTGTGCTGTGCCAAAGACTTACCAGTTCACTGACGACCCAGGCAATTCCAAGAGCTAAAGGGCCTCAGGTCTCTTCACAATAGATCTGCGCCCTAATCCTACTGAAGTCATGGGTGTGAGCCTGCAGCTAGTGAGGGCACACATGTGAGTCGAGCTCATACGTATACACTGGACCATAGTCTTCATTCAGCTCAGAGCTGGCCCCATGCTCAGACCGTCCCGGCCACACTGACCCATGGAGCCACCTGCTAACTAATAGACACTTAGGATGGCAACAGCAAACGAGCAGAACTACATTGGCCGTCAGTGGTGGATAGAAACTAAGAGAAGAATGAAAAATTAAGCAAGTGTGGTAAAGACCCGGGGAAGGGGAGGGATGCTGGGCAGAAGGGGTCAATGGGGGGAAAAGAGGGACATCTGTGATAATCTCAACAATAAAGATAATTTAAAGAAAAGAAAATGAAGCTAATTATGCTTTGTTAGCAATTTAGATGTAGGTGTGGGAAGCAGAAGTTTGACACCAATGGTCTCAGAGAACGTTGTTAGCTTATTTCTGTATGTAAGTTGTCCCAGGTACTCTGACCCCCTTGACCTTGGATTGATGGCTGGACTTTGTCCTATCTGCTGTATTGTCAGAGCACAGCCTCAAATAATAAGGGTCTAGGTGTTTCCTGTGTGCTAAGAATGCATCTGAAGCTACTCTTCCTGTAACCCAGCATTAGCATCACCTTGGAATTGCTAGAAATGCAAACATCAGTTCCCAACTGCCTGAGATGTTGACATAAGCTGAACCAAAAACTTGGGTGGTGGGGCTTAGCAATCTGCTTTACCAAGCTCTCCGGCTGAACCTGATACACACTAAATCGTGGGAACCACTGCTAGCATCAATTTGCTCATCTTGGTATGAAAAGCACTATGTGGCCATTAAACAGGATGCAGAATAATTGACGAGAACTAATTTGCATGAATGGTATCATGCAATAACACTGCATTCTCCTAATACTACATACACCGTGGAGTGAGGCTAAATGGACACAGAATCACATGCCAGAGTCCTCTTCTTGCTTCCTTCAAACCCTTTAAACAATGCTTTTGCTATAAAAATGAGCTGTTTTAAAGGGTGACTCTAACAGCTGACGTGCCCTTGCAAATTAGCGCATAGCAATTTATTCGCTTATGTCCAGGTATCTGCCTAGCCAGCCTAACCTGAAAAGAAAAAAAGGACCATTCTCATCTGCTGGTTGACCTTGGCTGGCTGTTCCTGGAATCACTAAGTGGAGCCCAGGTGACCACGTCGCCAGGGCATTTGCAGGGACTGCAGAACCAGGAGGCTAGGCCAGTGCTGCTCACACCTGGAAGGTGCTTGTCAATCAGCTAAGTATCTTGATGCAAAGCAGGAGAAGCCAGTAATATCGCCATCTTGGGAAATATGAGCAGAAGATCTGCTCTTCACCTGCTCAGAGTGAAGCTTGGGGTCAGCATTTCTAACAAGTCCTCCGGTGATGTAATGCTGCTGGCCCTCAGACCACACTTTGAGTAGCAGGAGTCCAGCGCTCTCCCGTCGAATCCTGAGATGCTGACCCAAATGCAAAACTGAGCTAGCCTCTCTCTTTGCTGTATTTCTTTGCCAGTTCCTCCAAGAATAATTCCAGGGGCCAATCCTGTTCTGGGAGAAGATTGCTTGTTCTCCTATTAGGGCAGAAACAAGAATAAATTTTATGGTGAAAAGCCTCTTTGCCAAGTGAAAGAACCGCTGTTCATGAACTAGGCCTTAACGCTGGTGCTCCTACCAGCTGCCTCACTGTCACCATCCTGACTGGAGGGAGTGAAGGTTCCTGGCGTCAATGCCTCTCCTAGAAAGACCAGCCTTGACCCCTGTACGGAGATAGAAAGCTGAAGATTCCATTCTTGCCTTTCCAAAAGACAACAGGGTAGATGCGCAGCTCTTCCATCCCAACTGCCTGAGATGTTGACAGTCAATGGGGACAATCTTGGAACAGTGTCCTCACTGTCAGTGCTTACAGACTTCTTCTTCTCCTTCTCCTTCTCCTTCTCCTTCTCCTTCTCCTTCTCCTTCTCCTTCTCCTTCTCCTTCTCCTTCTCCTTCTCCTTCTCCTTCTCCTTCT